ATGTTTCCAAGCAGCTGTTGCTTATTACATAAGTAATCATTTTCTAAGAAAAAAGTCAAGATTATCTCCATTGTTTGTTTCTACTAAATTCTCTACCCAGGCTATAAATGCATTTGTCATTTGGGCAATACTCAATAATGTTCAAAACTAACAAATTAACTTTCTTCTTGAATATGGATGCTTGTAGGGGCGGGAGATTTTGCTGTGTGGGAGTCTGTTACTTCCAGATTTCTTAAGAAAACAAATGTCCCCGTGTTGTACAATCTTCTTTTCCTACGAGGTGAACTGTTTAAACAATTTCAGAAATGTTTAATTAATTAGTCCAAAGCCAAGTATATGATAACAGTTTGCTTCAAACTGTAAGGAATTCTATTCCAATTATTGGATTCATTCATTTTTTACAAGGAGCACAATGTATTTTCACAGTGAACGTTCTCCTCCAGCAGGGGGCGTTAGGGGGTGAGCATCCGTTAATATCCTTTATTTCCCAAATCCCCCCCTTAAACCTGTGCACTAGGGGTAAATATTTCTTCTCCAAGTTCTGCTTCATTCACGTAAAGAGAGAGATCACTAGTGGAACTCCTTGCTACTCTCGGCCCCTTTGCTCATTCTACCCTCTGGTGGATGTTGAGGTGACTACACGGATGGGTAGATTTGGAAACATTGATTGTAGTTGGGTGCCCTCAGCTCAGCACTGCTCTTTCTCTGTCCTGGGGGTGAGCCTCCTGGCCCAGAGCCAGTCCTGCCCTGCTCCTCCACGCCACCAGAGGAGACCTCCAACCACATGTCCTAGGCTGCCTGGTCCTGGGGCTTATTCAATAAGCTTCCCTGGCCATTATTGGTAATAAAGATGGGTGTTCATCTTTACTTTTTTATTCTCAAATCGTTTAGAACCCAGACAGGGAAGAGGGCCACTATTCACCCAGAGGCCTCCGAATCACACAGTCCACTCTGTCTGCATTTGCCATTGCTCTGTACAATGCACATATACTTTAGTTGTCTGCGTGTCTTTTGTGCTTTGGCATTTAAATATGAACGAACAACACTAGTTTTTTTCCATTTTCTTTCCATGGACTGTTAGCTTGTATGATGAACTAAGAATGCCTATTTATAGTGGTAGTTTCCTATATGGGGTCTTAAAAGGCCGGGAATCCTCCAGAGCTTTCATATACACTTCAGAGACTGGGCCGAGTAGGGTGTGGGATGCAGTGGGCGGTGGATGAGAATATTGGAGGAAATAAAAGAGAAGAGCAAGGCCCCCAGAGCCCCATCCTAATTTCAAAAAACAATTCAACTTTCCTTTGTTTATTACTCTGGGCTGTCATAAAGGCATAAATGTGAACAAAGAGTTTCCACTATTTAAAAAAAGTGGTAGGTTAAAAACTACTATTTCCTATCATTTCTCCTGATTAGGTGAGGTTACAGGAAGGCAAGTTTGGGACTGGTGACTCAGAGACAGAGAATTTCTTGCCATAGACGATCAGTTTAGAAGTTCTCCCTTCCCGTTAGTGCCCATTCCTTTTGGTTACTTTAGAGTTACTAAAGTCTGGTCACGAGAACGTGGTAGCCAGTCTCTGTCCCCTAAATTATAATGCAGGAGGAGATTTTTAAAGTCTTAAATCAGATCCAACAATATCTAAATAATTAGAAGCCAAATGCTAAGTGAAAATCTGGATAATAAAAAACTCTTCTACTCAGTAGGAAATATTTATTCTGTCTAAGCTTCTCAGAAGTTGCCATCCCCAACTTCGGAAACAATAAACCTTGGTTGCCCATCTGCTGACTAAAAGTGTAGCACATATTTTGTCGTCTCCTATAGGCCATTATGTCTTAAATCCTGCTCTCCTGCACCACACACAGCAAACAAACACCCTTTTGGCTTCTTACTGGCAGCCAAAATTGTAATGTCTATAAGTTTACTTTCTTGCAAAACCAGTGAGGCAGTTGGAAAAGAAGAAATAAAGTTCCTGGCCAAATCTCTCCAAGAAGCTAGTTAAAGGAAATGGTAATTATTAAGAGACTTTGTCCTCATAGCAAGGAAGGGCTAAGTTCCAGCTGGTAAACACGGCTTCCTCCTGTAATCCATTCATATCACATGAACCCAATTTCTATGAATGTAGAAGTATTTTTGTTTTAATTTCTCTGTTATGAACACTACTGAACAAACATAAAGCCTAAGTACAGTGAGTCTGCCTCATTCAGGACTGGCTGTGTAATTTGCAGGGCACAAATGCAAAATGAAAATAAGGAGCGTCTTGTTCAGAATTATTAATATTTTCAAGAAAGTGACAGCAGAACATGAAACCAACATGGGCCCTTCTTCCAAGTGCAGGGCCCTGCGTGGCTGCACATGAAGGCACACATGCAGGAAACAGCAGAGACCACTGCCCATCCACAGTGAAAAGCTTTTTCGGAGCGTTCTCCAACTTGTTTTCTTCCATATCTGCTGTTTGGTGATCTCTTTTGTATCCTCCATCTCAGCCACTGCCAAAGTAAATGTCTTATCCTCCATTAATCCAACATGTCTGTATTGCACGTAAGAACAGTGTTTTTGTGGGTCTCTTCACGCTACTCAGAGAACTAGCAGTCTGCTCACTTTTCAGGGACAGCCACAAAGGAGGGTGCATCTTGGCAAATGGAAGGCTGTTCCTTCTTCTGGACACATTAGTGGGTTTGGAGAAGCAGCCCTAAGGGCCTAACCCAAGTCGAGCACAACCGCTCTGTGCAAAACAGGGAGAAGAATTTGACATCTCAGGCATGATCTAGGAAAGATAGAGCAAGGAGAAGATAAGAGGGAAAAGGAGCAGGAAACCAGCTTTGTATTGAGCAATATGATCATTCTCCTTAACCCCCAGGACAATGGATTAGATTCAGTGATTGGGCTTTTTGAGAAACTCAGGAGAAAAAAAAAAAAAACCAGTCGAGTGCCACTCCAGGTCTTTGACCCAGAACATGGCCTACAAATGCAAAAGGAACTGAAAGATGCTGAGATGAGGGAATCTTCAGAGCGTGAGGAATCTCATAAATGAGTCAGAATCTTAGAAAAAGGAGTGAGGACCTTGAACTTCACAGGCCATGGAATTGAGAAACCAGAGCCATATTTCCTAGTTCTAGAGACCAGGGGTATTCCTAACTCCCCGGGGACTCTCACATAATAAAGGCTAGAGTTTCACTATGTGCCAACTATAATACTATGATCACCAGTCCCCATATATCAGCTCATCTGATTGTCCCAACAACACTATGAAACAGGTATTATTTTTGCAGGTGATGAAAATATGATATGAAAAAGGTTACAAGATTTTCCCAGGCTCACACATCTACAAAGCATTAGGGCTGAGACTGAAATCCAGGCAGTTAATCTTCAATACCAGTGATCTTGACCACTCCAAAATTCTGCCTCCCTAGATTATCTCATGTAATGCCCCCAGCAGTCTAGGAAAAGTAAATACTGTTGTTCAGACTTAACAAGTGAGAGAACCGAAGATCAGAAACATTAAGTAGTTTATGCAAGGGAAGCTAGTAAGTGGCAGAACAGGGATCCACAGAGAAGGGAGCTGAATCCACATCTTCGCTTTTCCTCTAATCCTTTTTGCCTCATCTGGAGACAGAGCTCCATTCAGATTCTAGCTCTGCCCTTCTTTGTATATGCAACCTGAGCAAGTCACTTACCCTGCCGGATTCTTCCTTTTCTCATCTACCATGTTGCAATTATAACTACTTTGAAGTGAGGTTCTAATGAAATATGAGATAACGCACATGTGAGCTGGAATGCATTATGCAAATATAAGGTATATTTACTGCTGTTATTTTGGAATGCAAGTACCGAGTTTCCCATGATGCTTTTCACCCCCCTATTTCTCAATATTCACCAAGGAGAGACGGAGGAGATATATCTTTTGAACAATGTTGATTTCATCCTACGGCTTTTGATTATTCATCCCTCTGAGTGATCCAGTCTCATTACATTCAGTCATTCGCTCTAAATGCTTGGCAGGCATCCAAACAGTTATTTGTTCAACTCAATAATCTAAGTTTATTGTCTTAAATAAATCACACCTGACAAATAACTCGTGCTTCAAAATGATCTTTAAAAGTGGGTGCTAAAGTGACACTGTCAATTCCAAAAATCATGGGTGATGTTAAGGCTTTTAACAAAACAACTTAAAAGCTTGACATTTTAATTTATTGCTGTGCTGCTTCCTGTAACTGTACTTTGATTGGTTTCCACTATTTACTAAGCAGTCATTTTTTTCATGTGAAATATAATTTATACTTTTAAAAGAGATCAGCTCTGAGCAGTGTACCTATGAGCAATGTAATAAAACTCTTCTTGAAGAACCAATGCTTTGCTTCATTTAATTTGCACATATTAAAAATTTAGTGGCCACAAACATATAAAAAGCTGTATGTATTTAATTTCTAAAAAAAATGTTGGAAATATATTTGTATGATTTTGGAAGCACACGGAGGAATTTGAAAGCTAAATTCCTCATTATGTATTATAAAAATGAAAGAAAAGCAGATTAATCATATGATCCCAATTATCATAAATTCTAGACTTCAGAAGCTACACTGGGAAGAGATAAAGTAATGAAATAATGTCTAATCAATATATTTGAATAATGTAAGATTAAAATCAGTCAAAAAGTATTCAGGAAGTGTTTATCATTTCAATCAAGTCAAAGTTAGATTTTTAATGGAGAAAGCACTGGCATGAGTAACCGAGAAGAGTATATCATCAAAACAATTTATATTAAATACTAATACTTTGCACTTTATTTGAATGTAAATTCTGGGAGCACTTGAATTTTATGTATTTATTATATTACAACTAAATAATGAATATGTGCTGAAAATGTCCAATTAAGGAGAATTTGTAAAACTGATACAATTTCCCATCAATATGGAAATGAGAGAATGTGGTATGATTAAGCCAAGGTACTAGACTAAAACAAATCTGCCTTCTCTCCTAGATCACCTGTTAACTACTTCCTTACCTGGTCAGAAGAGGTCAATATAAAACCAGGTAAGTTAGTTTAACAGATTCTTCCTTTTATCTGTCCTTAAATAATCCTCCTCCTCATATCCGGAAAGGCCTGAAAGAAAGCAGATTAAGTAGCAATGTAAATACATTGGAAATAAGATACCTTGTAGTTTATGTGCCAGCAGATAATTGGGAACAGAATGTTTTATAATTAAATATAACACTTCCCATATAAACAGTGCTATGTTTCAGTAACATACTTTTGGAATACAGTAACTTGATGCAAAACGATAGCCATTAAATTACTTACGCATCAACCTATTAACAATATTTAACTTTTTTCTTAGAATTCAGATAATGATAAATTGACTTTTAATTTATATCCTGGTAAAAATCAAATATGAACAAAAATGATTTTCAAGCACTTTTGCTCATCAACATTTGCCTCTAACAATTAAATTATTAACTGCTTACCTGCTCATATCATAAACATAACAATTCAATATTATTTTTAATAGCATATACTGACTATTTGACTTGTTTTAGTATGCAGTCACTTACAGAAATGTTTGCATGTCCTTTGAAGGAATGAACTTACTTCTTCCACACAGGGGAATTTCAGGTTACCCTTAAACGTCATACTTTGGGAACTATCCATCCATAAAATCCAGGTAACCTAGACAAAGATATGGGTTTCTTCATTTAATTTTTTTTAATTTGAAATTATCAGGTCATCTGAGTGTAAGGTCCAAAAGGCATCAGCTTATTAAGCTTCCCTGGGGCTGGCTAAAGATTGCATTTAAAAAGCAACCCATGAATCAAATCACATAGAACTACACATACACACGCGCACACACACACTTAGGCTTAGGTAAATGAGTGCATGTAAAGATGGGTGAGAAATGAATAAGGTCTAGAGTCTAGTTAACAGTATTGTATTAATGTCAATTTCTTCATTTTGATATACTGCTGTTATATAAGATGCCACTATTTGGGAGAAGGTGGTTGAAGGGCACATGGGACTCTATGTACTATTTCTGCAACTCCCAGTGAGCCTGCAATTATATATATTTCAAAATAAAAAGGCCTTTTTTTAAGGAAAAAAAAAAGTAACCCCATAGACAATTATGCCTCAGGGAACTGATGTACCAGTACATGTAGAATGCTGAATCGGTACCACAGGAAAAATATCAAAATATAATTTTTTTTTTTAAAACAATGAGGCATTGATTTGTTGTAATTTCCACCACTATATGAGCCAAAGCTGAAAAAAATAAGTTTAGGCTGGAGTTAGGATCATAATTAGTGATGTGCTGATAAATGTTTAGCTGGAGTATGGAGCTCTGATTTGCAGGATTTGCCAATTTGCATTCTGTAAATAATCCTACCATGGCAAATTTCAAGTTACAAATGTAGCATTGACTTCTTACCAAATTTCTGAAAATTTAACAGTGAGTTTTGACATGAAACCTACTTCATGGACGAAGAGAATGGACTCTGAGTGGGCATATTCTCAGGGTCCCTTTGGCTCTGTGTCCCATGGGCAGAGGCCTAGCAGGGCCAGGGCCAGGGCTAGGCCTCTAGGGTTTACGTCCCCTTTGCCTAGGTCTAAATCCTCATCCCATGTGTCAGCCTCACCTACCCAATCCTTTTTTGTCCATTCATTTTGTATTTGAACCAAGATTCAGCCAAGGTGAGAAAGAGTTGGAGAGAACATACTCATGAAACTTCCTCTCTGTGATAATTCTCATTTCAATGGTTTTCCCTCCATATCATATACTTCATGAATCAAAATTCATTTCTCTTCTCTCAGATGATACTCTTTGGTAAAGCATGTGTCTCTCTGGGGTGAGACACAATGGAGCAGTGGGAGAGTAATAGGATACTTGGCCAGGGAACAAGATTGGTGCGCATAACAATAAATGGTGATTGGTGTCACCTTATAATCCAATCATAGCTGACTGGTCCAGCATATTAAATTCCATACAAAATAGAATAACACAGCTTAAAATATAATACAGTTCACAATGAAAGATTTGACAGCACATTTTAAACAATGATTGAATTTTAAGATAGCAAATTTTAGGATAACTAAGAAAGATGAAATTAACTTTAAATTTCCCTGGAGAAATTTATACATTCTGTATATGAATCCTTTGTTGAATGTATGTATTGGAACTTTCTTCTCCTAGTTTACCTTTTTACTCCCTTAATGGTGTCTTTTGATAAAGAAGCCCACACTATTTACTTATCTACTTTGGTTTGGACATGTGCATCTTGTTTCAGAAATCTCTGTCTACCTAAAGTCATGATGATTTTAACCTATGCTTTCTTCCAAAAGCCTAATGTTTGCCTTTCAATTTTAGCTCAATGATGTGTTTAAAATTCGTTTTTATGCGTGATGTGAGATAAGGATCAAGTTATATTTTTCCCCACAAGAATATTCCATTGCTCCATTCTTTCCTCACTTGGCAGTGGCATCTCTGTGTCACCTTAAGGGACTGTATATATGTGGGTACATTTCTGGACTCTCTTTTCTGTTCCACTGTTCTACAGTTTTGTTTCTATATGAACACCACGCTGTCTTAAATACTGTAGCTTTACAGTTATTCATTACAATATTCAGTCTTTAGTAATAAAAAGCAATGAATTATTAATATATGGAACAACTTGGATGGATCTCAAGAAAATTATGCCGAATGAAAAAAGTCAATCCCAAAAGGTTGCATACTATGTGATTCCATTAATGTAACATTCTTAAAATGACTAAATTATAAACAGGGAGAAGGGGTTAGAGATGGCAGAGGAGGGGCAAAAGGTGGGTATTACTATAAGAAGGCAGCACAGGCATATGAGATCTTTGTGGGAGTGAAACCACTCTGTATCTTGACTATGGTGGTGATTGCATAAATCTCCACATGTTAAAATTACATGCAATTAAATATATACACATGCGCGCATGCACAAGTGCACTTAAAATCAGAGAAATCTGAATATGATGGATGGGTTCTATCAGTGTCATTTCCTGGTTGTGAGACTGTACTACAGTAAAAAAAATGGTACAATTGGGGGAAACCGGGTGAATGTTATAAGGAGTATATATACACATACATATGTATATATACACATACATATAAGGAGTATATATAGACATACATGTGTGTACACACACACATATATATAATATCTTACAATTGCATGTGAATCTACAGTTATCTCAAAACAAAAATTTTCATAAAAATATTGATCCTTCCAATGAACATAAGATAGCATTCCATTTATTTATATCTTTTAAATTTTCTCTCAGAAATGTTTTATAGTTTTCAACATAGAGATGTACATTTTTGTTAGCTTTCTAGATATTTAAAGTGTTTGATGCTATTGTAAATAATACCATTTAAAAATTGTATTTCCCAATTGTTCATTGCAGATATATAGAAATACAACTGATATTGTATATTGACTTATATGTACTGGTAATCTTGCTAAATTCACTTATAATAGTTTATTTTTACATTGTTTTAGATTTTCAACAAGCATATTCACATTTGTCATCTGTGAATAATGACAATTTTATTTTTTGTCATTAATGGTTAATTTTATGTTATGTGAATTTCACTTTAATAAAAAAAGAAGGGATTCTTTACTCTAGGAAACTTTAGTTTATATATCCCTCTATGCTTCTATAACTCTGTAATGTCTTTTTTCTTTTTTCTTTTTTTAATTTCTCTACCTTTGAAGGTATTTTTTTTCCTTTTTTTTTTTTAGAAATAGCGAGCCACTTTATTTGTCTTTCCTATTGCCTGGGCTGGAGTGCAGTGGCATCATCATAGCTTACTACATGTCCAACTCCTGGGCTCAGGCAGTCCTCCTACCTGGGCCTCCTGAGTAGCTGGGATTTTTTTTATTTTTTGTGGAGACAACGTTCCACTATGTTGCAAACTCCTGGCCTCCTAAAGTGCTGGAATTCCAGGTGTGGTGCCCAGACTACAATGTCTTTTTAAAAATGATTTTAAAATGTATGCACTTTTTTTTATTTGTTGCAGCAAAAACAATGGCCTACCCAGAAGTAAACTTCTTCTTCTTCTTTTTTTTTTTTAAGACAGAGTCTCACTCTGTTGCCTGGGCTAGAGTGCCGTGGCATCAGCCTAGCTCATAGCAACCTCAAACTCCTGGGCTCAAGCGATCCTCCTGCCTCAGCCTCCCACGTAGCTGGGACTACAGGCATGTGCCACCATGCCCGGCTCATTTTTTCCATATATATTAGTTGACGGATTAATTTCTTTCTATTTATAGTAGAGAAGGGGTCTTGCTCTTGGTCAGGCTGGTTTTGTGGAGAAAAATCTAACCTGCCATTCTGCTTCTGTAAACTCCGCTCGCTCAGCCCTACCCTCCCCTGCCGGCGCCACTCTGTAACTTCTCGAAAACTGCTTGCCATTAGTCCTTGGAAATTATTGACCAAGATTAGAAGTTCCCGACATTAGCTCATCTGGTACATGTTTGTGCAAGGTCAAAGCCCATGGAACTTCCCCCCACCCTGTGATCCCTAGCCACCTGCGTGTGGTTTCTGCCTATAAAAAATCCTAAGGAAAAAAGGGCCGGGGCGGCAGCTTTCCCTAGCTTGCTTGCCCCTGCACTGCGCTGGAAAATAAATCCACCTCATGCTATTGCTTCAAGTCTCTGGACTCTGAGTCTTTTTGAGCGGTCGTCTCTCCCCCACACGAGCTGTACATTTCTGCGGCCTAACAGTTTCGAACTCCTGACCTCGAGCAATCCACCCGCCTCGGCCTCCCAGAGTGGTAGCAGAAGTAAACTTCTACACATTACATCTTTAAATATTTTAAATCATGTATTACTTTCTGAAATTATATTGTCGATCTGCTTATTTCCTTTTTTGTTGTCTGTCTATGGTGATCCTCAGCCCATGGCCAGATTGTGCTTCAGAATCCCCACAGAGCAGGCCCTTGTCCCCCCTGCTCACTGCTGTCTCCGTGGTACCTAGCACAGGGCCCAGTGCACAGTGGACACTCAACACATTCTTCCTCAACACGTAAGAAGCTATCAGGAGAAACAAGTCGGTTCTCTTTTAATACCACTTCTTATAAAACTCCTACCTGTCTTTGTTCCTGAGTTTATTGACAAATCTTCAGTTACTGAGGGTTTATCCTTTTATTGTCTTTAAAGCAAAAATCAAGGGCAAGAATGGAGAATAATTTTTCCAAGTCTAGGACACAAAGTGGGTCATGAGGGAGATTCATTAACACCAGAGAGTCACATACAAAGGAAGTAAGCTCAATAGCTATCAAACGTAGCTTCGGCAAAGGTACTTTGCTATTGTGATCTTAAAATGCCATAAAATACTTGAAACCTGGGAATCTTCATTTTTTAAAAAGAGTTGCTCTTTTGACTAGACCCCAACATGCGTGAGCATAAATAAGAAGTCAGATCAGGTGGCATATTTGCCAAACAGTTCTTGACATCAGACAGTGAGGGGGAATGTTTATTTACATGTTCTCAACTGACTGACTAAGGTCTGCAGCACCAAAAAAAAAAAAAAAAAAAAAAATGACCATCCTAATCAATGAATCTACTCTGAATACTGGTTTTCAAGGGCTTCCCAGCTCTTCTTTAGATCAAACTGCAATATGAAAACAGCACTAATGATACTCGGCCGGT